GGAATCTCTTCCAACTGTTCAGGCAAGAGGTAGTGCTGCACTGAGGGTCTGCCTGGGGTGGGGTCTGCACTCACCCGCTATGCTGATGTGTCCACAGTAGCACAGGGGTGGCTGTGTCTGTGCTGAGTGTCTCCCCAGTCATACCAGCTATTAAGTATTTTGACTGTCCCACTGGCTAAGGCAGAGAAGATGAAGGGAGAGTTTGAGAAATAATTTCTCACCACTACCACCAGGACTTGGTGATGGAGTTATAGAGGACGAGAGAAGGGAAAGGGTTGGGAATGGAGCCCCTGTTTCTAACTTGGCCATTGGGTGGTGCCATTCACCAAATCTGGAAATAGACTCTTTTCAAAATTAACAGGGGAAGGACACTGTTGATTCCTGCATGGAAGATTCCAATGAGGAATCTGAGTCAGGAGATGTTTAGTAGGCGGGAGTGATATCCAGCCCTCCCCAAAAGGACTCCAAGAGAGAAGGGAGCGTCCAAGGGCACACATGCATGCCCCATGAGACACCGCATGGCCTCTTGTCTACTTCTGCACCACACTCATGCACACACCTTTCCATGTCCATGCCTTCACAGGACGCATGGTACACCTCCTGGGCTCAGGTCCTGACCTGCACTCTGGCCACTTGCCACACACAAAGCAGAGGGAGGCCGTTGAGAGGCCAGCAGGGCATGATCTTCTGAGTCTCCAGGGGCAACCAAGTCCTTCACCACCTCTTCCAGGCCCAGAAGAATATGGAGAAGGCAACGTGGTGCTGGGAGACAGCCACGGGGTCAGAAGGCCTGGCTGCGCGGCTCCGGCCACTTATCAGCCTTGGAACCTAGGGCCGGTCACTTAACCTCTCTGATGCCTCATTTCATTCTCTGTGAAATGGAAATAATAATAATCTCAGAGCAAATTCAGTTTGACCAGGTAGATGACAAATGGATTAGCAAACTGGATTCTTTATATCATCAAAGGTGAAGGGCAGAAAGCGAGAAGTTACAAAATAAAAGTGACACGTCTGCTAGAACAAGAATTTTACCAAAAACACTTTGGGAGGAGGGCTATTAACTGATAAGTAATTTAAAACTTTTATTCAATACAAACATGGATGGTGTAATGAAAATATTCCATGTGTTTTTAATACTGTGCTTGTAGTTGGCACTTCAGACTAGGTCCTCACATTCCCTCAACAGTCCAAACTCTCTTCCTTCAGCTATCCAGGGTGCCCTGGGGGAAAATATTTAGACCTTCTGTAGAATTCCTAGAGGAGACAGTTGAGGGTTCAGGCCCCAGGATTTGGTGTCATGGGTCACTTTGCACTTACAGACACACGTATTCACATGCATTCCCATGGCTTCTAGGTTCCTGGGCTGCCTTAATGGCATTTCCTGACTAGGGAGCAAATATAACCAGCTTTCTAGGAAAGAGATGTGAAAGCCGCTGGCTGCTGACACACAGTAATGTCTTTGGACTTTTCTTCTAACTTCCTTCTAGAGTGTTTCTCAACCTTGGCAGTACATTATAATCATACAGGGTGCTTTAAAACATACTAATGATGGTTCCCATCCTCAAAGACTCTAATTTAGTTGGTCTGGGGTGAGGGCTGGGCATTAGAACTTCTAGGAACTCCCCAGGTGGCTCTGATGGGCCACTAAGGTTGACAGCCAATGACCCATAGAAGATGGGAAGGGGCAGGAAGCTACCCATCAGTGGGCACCTCCAAAGGGCCAAGAACTGTGCCAGGAAGGCCCTTCCAAGTGTGCTATTTCATTTAACCCTCCCAGCAAATATAGAGGTGGAGCTTATTACGCCATTTCTACGGATGAGGGACCTGAGACTCAGAGAGGTCCAGGAACTGACCAAAGGTCACGCTGCTACCAAATGGAAGATCAGTGATTCCAACTAGTTCTGCTTGCCACCCAAGCCCTCCTGTTTCCCTGAATCATGCTGCCTTCCAGGAGAGGGTGCACATGAGCACATCCCTCTGCAGGGAGTTCTGCAGGACAGACAGAGGGACTGCCAGACAAGATGCTGCTCAATGCTTGACTGCCAGGGTGCGTGAGCTATTCAAAGCAGAGGGAAAGTGGTTTTTCATTTACCTCAATGAACAAAATGGTGGTTAGGCAGGGAGAGAGCACATGAGTGCAGTGCAGTGCAGCTAAGCAGCCCGGCACCCAATCAGGGCATAAACTGAACAGGAAACAAGCCCTCCGACCTCCCCTCCCTGCGCACCTCCAGACCCTTCTCCTCCGGCCCAGGGCCCGGGGGCGTGGTTCTGCAGCCTTCCCTGGTATCCTTCCCTTCCCTCCTGCAGGTGATGCAGCACGCGTGGGTGGAAGGGAACTCCTCCGTCAAGTGTGATCGGTGCCACAAAAATATCAAGTGCTACCAGAGTGTCACGGCGTGGCACTGCGTGTGGTGCCGGAAGACGGTGGGTTGGTGTCCAGGGCAGCCCTGCTTCCTTTTAGTGTGGCTTTTCGCTCAAGCTGCAGACAGGGAGCCGTGGACATCCTGCTAAAGGGCATGAGCAGAGCCGAGGGGAAGCCAGAGGGGAAGCCAAGGGGGCCCAGAGCCCCATTCAGTGCTCCAAGTCTAACAGTGCCCAGTGAATCACCAAGCTGTCCAGAGAGAGGGCACCCCCAGAATCAGGGGAGCGAGGGCTGCTTAAGAAGAAGCTAGCCAAGCCACTGTCTATGTAGCAGGGCAGCTGTGACCATCAACTTCCTTTGCCTGGATGTCATCTGAGGCCAGCAGCACCACCAGAGTTGGCAGGGAATTAGACACCAGAATCGTGTTCCTCCAGGTACCAGAGGAAGGCACACTCTTTGCAGCAGCTCCACTGCCTGGCCCAGAGGCCTGTGCCTGCTGCCATTAGTCACAGCAAATGTCCACTTCCTTTCCAGACACCTGGAACCTGCCCAACTTCCCTACCACAACAAACTCAATGCCATGTCTTGTCCCCTTGACCAAGGCCCTTGATCAGCTGCAAAAAGGATATGTCTCAAATCAAATTGCAGAACTCTTAAGACGCAGAAGTTGAGTCAAAGAGTTCATTTCCAGCCTCTTAAGAGTTTATTCAACAAGATCGCCTTCCTTCCAGTGTCTCAGAGCCTAGGGAGCAAAAATCCAAAGGGAACCCTAGAATCCACATGGGGTGCCACACTGATAGGCCTGCTCGTGACCGTTCTGCTCCAGCAGCTATGGGTAGCAGTTGGTCTCCTTTATCTGCCCACAGCAGACTTGGCAGCCTTAACCACATACTACAGACACACATGCCACATATGCACACCACACATGCACACCACATACACATGCTCACTCCGTTATACTGTGAAAGCCAGCAGTACATCAGGATTTGGGGAGCACTAGACAGCTTGCCTCCCCAGTAAACCTCTAAACCCTCATATCTGAAATTTCCTTGGTCAGTTTCACTCACTCCCATCTTCATTGTTTCCTCCAGTTTCACCGCAAATGTGAATTATCCACGTTGTGTGATGGTGGGGAACTCAAAGACCACATCCTGCTGCCCACCTCGATATGCCCCATCACCCGGGTAAGTGTTGCTGCCCCACCTGGGCTCTGGTCCCCACCACCGCCCTGCACACCCCAGACATTGGCAGCCTTCAGACATTCACCCCCCTCAGAGGGCTTCCTCAACAACTCTTAGGGTTTGCTGTTTTCAGCACAAGTTTAAATGAGGTCAGTGCTGCACCCACCAAATTGGGAGAAGAAACTCCCCTGACTAAAGTGGTTCCCATTGCTGGTCCCTTCCCAGGATGCTCTGAAATGGCCCATCAAGGAAAGCACATTCGTTCTAAGCACCTTGCAGGCAGAGCACAGCTCAAGGAACCACAGTCACTACTTGCACAGGCTAGGACTCCCCTCCCTTGTCCCTGTCAACCTCTCTTCTATGTCCCAACATCACCTTGACGATTTCCACTTGGCTGTCTCAGCCCTATTTGGAAATGAATGCAACAAAATTAAACTCCTTTTACTTCCACCTGAAATTGTCCCTGTCTTCTGTGTTGAAGACAAAAACAAACCAAACACCAAACACCTTAACTGTTTCCTTCCCTCTAAAAGATGTTGCCAAGTACCACTGATTCTCCACGTCTCATCCTTGACTTGACCAGCTACTCCTTTCTCTTTGACAACTGAAGAAAAACCATTTGGCTGCATCTACCAAGTTGGAAATACAAAACTCTATGACCCAACACGTCCCTTCCTATGTATCTACCAAAGAAACATGAGCATTTATTCCACCAAAATAGATGTATAAGAATGTTCGTAGCAACTTTATTTATAACATTGAAAAGCTGGAAATACACTTAATGACCATTGGCAAGAGATCAGATAAATAAATCGAGGCATATTCGTATCATAAAATACTACATGGGGAAAAACTATGCTTAAATGCAAAAATGGGATAGTCACAAAGATATAATGCTGAAAAAAAGAAGCTGACTGGAGATGTAGATTTGAGAATTTTACTATATGAGAAATAAACTTCCATAAAATAATAAGCATATTTAAAAGCAAAGCAAAGACGACAAATAAAACTAAGAAAAATAATGTTCTCAACGTGACATCATTTAGATAGTGCTGAGCAGAGAAGCCAGATCTAAGACCTTGCTTCTCAGAGTTCAAGCTTGTATATCAACAAAGTAGATTTCTACCAGGTTTAGTGTTTCCTCTCCCTGTGTCCAGTCCAGTGTCTCAAAGTTACTGTCAGAGCAAACAATGACAAAGTCCTGGAGAGTCCTAGAGAAATCCGTAGGGGAGTATTTCTTTTTCTAGTTCCAAAGCCCCACTTTGAAAAATTCCTCCCCATTCTGTACTGGTTTTCTAATTCTCTTTATTACCCATTGGTTATTCTTCTGATCTTTTTTCTTTATATTAGGCTTTTTTTTTTTTTTTTTTTTTAAAAGATGCTTATCTTTCCTCTCTTCTCACAGGAAAGGCAAGGTGGGAAGTCTGATGGCAACGCATCAGCCAAGGGTGAACTTGTAACGCAGGTACCTCAGCAAGCCCGTGTCTGATCATTCATTCTAAGTTGGTCCAAGGCTGTGGAGAGGAAGACAGGGTTTGTGTGCTAGAGAAATAGATCTCAAAATTTGCTTTCTCATCTGATCAATTGTATCACACAAGACACTTTATTCCCAGCCTCTGGAATTACCTTTGACCGCCACACTGTAGGCAAGTGGTGGAAACAGAGGTTGGTTGATCCCACGGCTGGCCAAATTTGCGTTATCGCCTTTTTAGGAAAAATTTGTTTTTAAAACTTCAATATGCACACCCCCTAAGCAATAATAAGAGTGAGGCCTAAATATACACAATAGATTTTCCAAGGCTGCCACACTATCTCCAGAACGCAATCAGCCAAAACCAAGTTAACATCCAAAAATTCTTCTTTATCCTTAAATGTATATTTAAGAACTCATTTTTCACTTGGGTTCACCAATAAATATCTTCTCTTTGTGTCTTCCACAAAGTCCCAGGGATTACAGGAGAGACAGCCTGGTGAGGTACAGAGAGTACTAGAAAATAAAATAGAAATGAGGGCCTCCTCCTCTGCCTCTGAGCCTCAAGTTTCCTTCTTTGAAAAGGGGCACCAGAAACCCTGCACTGCCCACCTCTCAGAGATGCTCTGAGATTCAATGACAGCATGAAGATTAGTGTGTTTTGAAAATTAAAACATAAGCAATAATGATGGGGAACCTTAATAATGTGAGGAAGCTCTGGATACCTGGAAGTCAATTGGAGCAGACACACCACACAATCACACAATGCAGACACACAAGTTGTTTACAGCTGGCATTTATTTGGTTAGCCTGCATCTGTACTGACCAGGCAGTGCCCATGCTGTACAGCTTGTTTAATATTTTGAATGCCACTTCCAGAAGTAAAAATTACTCTTCAGGCTCCAAGATGCTTCTGGGTGACATACATACAGTCACCTAAGGGCAGATGAGAACATTCCTAAATACTGTAAAGTATGATGCTGTGCATTGCAAGCAGCATTGTTCTGGGTTTGCTGTGTTTTCACCTGGGATCTGGAAACGTGAGCGTTAGATCTTGAATATGGAGTGGAGCTGTATCTCTGTGTCAGTGTGTTCTTCAGCTAAATCCACAAGTGTTTATTGACTACCCACCCCCGTATCTGGTGTTATAGGGTCCTTGGTACAAGAGTTATTCACATACACACTCACCCTGCTTTTGAGGTACTTAAGATCCAGTTGATGTTTTGAGACATTTACCTAAGAAAACAAAAAACAAGTCAACATCAACAAAAGAAACCCAGAAGGTATTATATGTTTCAAGTGCAATAGTTTTAGTTGCAGTAATTGAGGAAAACTTCCTAGAGGAATTAGCTTTTGAACTGGGCCCTGAGACTGAGTTTTTTCAGAGGTTGCAAAGAAGAAAAGGGGCATTTCAGGACACTGAGCAGAAGAAACCAGTGTGAGCAGGCCCACAGGGTGGGAATGCAGGAGACATGCTCACTAGAGGGTAAGAGCTGGGCTTGGCTGGAACTGCACTGAGGGTTAGAGTAATTAACAGATAACAGTTGAATGGGGCTACAATGAAATGCCTTGGATGCCAGATTAGGAGGTTTGGATTTTATCATCTGGGCGATGGGGTGTTATTAAAGGTTTTTGAGCAAGAGTGACATGACTAATGTGATGTCCTGGGGAGGAGCGACATGGGAGCTGCCTAGAGGACTTGCCTGAGCTGGGAAATGCTCAAGCAGTATGGTTACTGTGGCAGCTGCCAGAGAGAAAGGGATATTCCAGGGAAAGAATTTGGCAAAATAGGGTTTCCCTGTATAACTGGATGAGTAATAATAGTACATTTAAACTGAAAAAGCGAGCCAAGAGAGATGACCAGTTTTATGTAGACATGTTGAGGTTTGGAGCAACCTGATAGTGAGACATCTGGTTGAAGGTTGAAAGTACCCACTGGACAGTGAGAAATGTGGAACCAAGGCTCAAGAGGAAAATCAGTGCTGGGGAAAGTCATGGTTAACTTCATGAGTGTTATTTTATTTAGATGTTTGACCAGATGGCCATACCCTTGAAGTTTATATTCAGTTGTATCCCATACAAAATCTAACCTCGTGCTGTGGGCACAAAGCCTCACCATTGTTGAATGATTTGAAGCTATGATGCCATTATCCCACCTCTAATTTAGACTTCAAACCCTCTTACCATTCAAACCACTCAAAGGCCACTCAAGATGAAGACACTTAGCTGCTTAACCCCTCAAAAACTCAGTCAGTGAACAAAGGACCTACCACCTGCCCTCCTCTCTTCCCTGCCTGTAACTGCTCCCTGTCCACCTCTCCCAAATGCTGTTTTAGTATATACTCTCATCTTGTTCCCCCTGTTGGCTGAAACAGAGCTAATCTCTTTTTCTTTTGCTTTTAAAGTATAAGATCATCCCCACTCCGGGTACCCATCCCCTATTGGTCTTGGTGAACCCCAAAAGTGGAGGGAGACAAGGAGAAAGGTATGTTCTCTTCTTTTTCAAAATGGAGAGGCTCCAACAGCCTCATTTGGGTCCTTTCTTTCCCTCAGCCATAACAGAGTGGACTTAACAGAGACAGGCAGACTTGGGTTCAAATCCCAGCCCTGCCACTTACCACTTGATGACTTGGTTCAAGTGACTTAGCATCCCTGTGCCTTGGTTTCCCCCTCTGTAGATAAATAAGAATTTCTCCTCTCATAGGATTGTTGTGAGGATTAAAATAGACACAGTCCTTAGCCTGGGGCCTGTCACATGAGCTATTATTATGGATCCCAGAGTCAGATCAAGTTCTGAGATCCCTGTTTCCTTCTTAGTCTCTCTTTTCTTGATTAAGAGATGTGGTGGGACTCACTTACTGGGACTTCCTGCCTATGGAGCCCCTGAGAAAGCAGGCACTCAGCCCATCAGTGAAGGAAATGTCCAGTCTGCTGGAAACACCAAGAGAGTGGGAGGAGAGAGGGAGAAAGGGCAAAAGTAGCTCTGTCTCCCAGGCCTGTGAGCTCTGGGGTAATGTGCAGGTGGCATGGTGATCTGGAATCCAGGTTAAAAAATAATAAGTAGGGTTGAAGCAACAACTATGAGAACCCATACCCCAGCCCAAGGGGCAGGGCACCCCTTCTGAACTGACCTGATTAGCCTCAAGCAGGAGCCTAGAAACCAAGCCTAGATGGGGTAATTGCCCCCAGCCCTCCTCTGCCTCAGCCTCACCTCCTGTGTTTCCTCCTGATTCCAGGATTTGGGTGGCCTTTCCATTGAGGGTTCCCTGATGCCTCTGTATAGTCCACAAAGAGCAGAACTGTATGACCTAGAACATACAGAACATCTGGGAAAAGGTTTCCATGAAGGAAAAAGCTTTAGGAGAATAGAAGTTCTGTTCTCTGAGCTTCTCTGCCCAGTCTTTTCTGCAAGGGGTGATACTTCTGGGATTGGGGCCTAAAGCCTTGGAAAGTGGGGAGATCTTGAACCAGGAGATTAGGGCATGAGTGATGCCAGCTGAAGCCGGGACTTCATGGTCTGCAAGACCTGTATTTGGTCTTCTCCCCAATGGGGTTTAAACTGACCCGCATTCCCACCATCAATGGACTCAGAGGTGTTTGCCCTACTGTGACTTCTCATAATGACATTCTCCTTCTCTGCCTCTCTCTTTTTTTCCATAGAATCCTTCGGAAATTCCACTATCTGCTCAACCCCAAACAAGTTTTCAACCTGGACAATGGGGGGCCTACTCCAGGGTATGGAAACACAATCCTTACTCCTTATTTCTTCTTCTCCCCCTTTAGTCTCTGAAGAGTATACCTTTTTTGTCACCTTTTTTGTCTTTTTCATTAGTGGACTTGCCCTTCCTGCTATTTTACTCACTCTCTCTTCTTTTCCTTACGTCTACTCTTACTTCCTCCTGGAGATACTCAGGAACGCTCGTTATGTTTAACTCTGGGAAGTAGCCTTCTGTATATGCCATTTGATTGACAGGAAGGGCGGGCTGGTAAATTATTTTAGCTTATTTGCAAGGCTGTGTGAGCTGGTATCTTCATACTGAATCATCAGAGAGGAGGAAAGAGTTTCCTTTTCACTGTCAGTTATAGTTCTACTGCACCTTTTGTTGTGGGTCATTTTAGGATGAAAACATTTGGTTATTCAGTGAAACCATGTTTTTCTGGATTATCCATTTTAGAGGCTGTTAAGCTCCCTATGACCCTTCTGTTATTTGTCTATTGGCTCTTTCACTGCTCATTAGTGAGGGAGAGGGACCGAGAAGAGGCAGCCCCTTTGCACCTTGACAGAAGGTCTGGCGGGAGGAGCTGGGCCTTGTGTTAGCACTAATTTGGTGAGCTCTGGGGCCCTGTAATCAGAGACCCCTCCAGCATCGAGCATGGAAGATACCCAAAAACTGTTCTTACCAGACAGAGACAGTGCACTAGAAACATGTGCCGGCCAGAGGCTTTCTAGGTGCCAGGTCCTCAGATCTGTGCACACTGGGCTGGGCTTTTCAGCATACTTTGCCCAAGCTCCTAACCTGCTTTTCTACCCTGGGTCCAGCAAGACCCCCAGAAGGGCTGGAGTAAAGACTCTAAAACTAGAATCTGTCCCTGCCTTCATTTTTTGACACAAAGCTATTGTTTATGGCAAGACCTAGTTAAAGGGAGAAAGAAACCTGAGTGAAGATTCAACACCTTGGCCATGATTTAAAACTAATTTCAAAACAGAGCCCACCTATATTGCTGTGGGTGCCATCCCGGTCACCATGACTGCCAGTCACTGCTCTGTTATGACTTGTGACTGAGCAGCAGCCCGCAGACACCTTTACCAGCCAGTTCTCTTTGGGGGCATTTTAATACTTGAATGCAGTGCTCGAGCTTAACCTCAGCTGCCCTAAATTGTTTTTGCCCTAGATGACAAGCCTGGTGACAACTTCTAGGGCTGCTGTGCTGAGTGTCTCTGAGGTGTCAGTCTGTAATCAGACAGGCTGTCTAGGTGACAGGAGCCTCCATTCAGAATTGACTTCCCACAGGAGATCGGGGAGCAAAGGGGAAGAGAGAAAATGTGAATTTGCCCACGCTTGCATCAGTGACTCAGAAAGCCCCAGGGGTCTTCTCAGACCACCAGGGTTGGCAAAGAGGAAACACTGAGCTTCAGCTTCCCAAGTCCCACCCTAAGGTGTCCACAGGTCACGTTGCTCTGAAACAGAGGTTCTTAACCTTTCTGTGCAGTCTGACAAAGCCTATAGACCCTTCTCAGACTCATGTTTTTTAACACATAAAATGAAATATATAATCAGGGAAACTAATTATGTTGAAAACAGTTATCAAAATGTTAAGAAAACAAATTTGCCATATGGGAATATATGTGATTTGCTTACACATTGTGTTTCAAATTCTAGAGGCAGGTCTAATAATTATAGTAAATTAAAAGCAGTGATGCACATAAATGGCAGTATCAGATATCTGCCATAACTGAAGTAAAGCATTAAAATACCTGTGATTGCATCTCTTTACAAAGTCACAGGTATTGTTAATACTTCTGTGATTTGTTGCCTACATTCACAATAGAAGAAAATGCTAAATTTCAGAGCTCAAGGAAGGTAAAAATGTAACATTTCCTCCCCCAAGTTCATAGTCCTCTGGATTCTAGCCACAGACCCCTTGGAGGTTCATGGACCTCAGGTTAACAGCCCTGCTCTGAAGGGTTAAAGCCCCCAACTGGAGATGGTGCTCACTCCACTTAGGTCTGGACCCGCAGGAGAGCAGGGTAAAGATGTAGCTAGTTGAGTGCATCTGATTTAAAGAGGAGGTCGAAGGGACAGAGCAGGCAGGAGAACCTGAGGGGAGTCAAATGTTGGTAGTCACTTGTATTGTTGCCAAAATAAGCAAAATATGGATTCCTCTGCATAAATAATAGAGAATTTTTAGAAAAAAAAGAAAGGAAAAAGATGCATGCTCTGTGTGAACACTGAGTCAGATTCTCCTTAGAGAAGGATGAGATTCATACTCAATGGCACTGCTTAGTAATTTCTGGTTTCAGAACATGAAGTGACCCTTTCAACCCCAAAAGGAATCAAGGTCATAACATTCTCTGGGGAAGGGGACAGGGGTACTCTGACTCCAGCTGTGTCAAAGGTCAGCCACAACCTAATAAGCAAGACCATGTGGGCCTTTCTTCTTCCCAGACTGAATTTTTTCCGTGATACTCCAGACTTCCGTGTCCTGGCCTGCGGAGGAGATGGGACAGTTGGCTGGATCTTGGATTGCATTGGTAAGAATGGGCTGGGAGGGCCTCTGCAGTTTACTTATAGTAAGCACATTTACAGTCCAAGGGAGACAATAAAAAAGACAGAGAAATGTAGCCATGTCTTGTTCATCCTTGTTTCCACTCTTGGACAAATGCTTGACTAAATTTCTACTTTGGGTGGAAAAACAAGATAATAGAAGGATTTCCACAGGTACAACTGTACCAGTTTGTTTCAGGCCTCGCCTCAAAAACATCTGTAGTGGCTGGGGTTTGGTCAATGGGAGGACAGGCCAGATTGGATGGTCAGGGGGACGGGCAGGATTGAGACTCCAGGCAGAGCCAAGGTGATGGATAAAGGCCAGAGAACTAAGCACAGATGCATATCCCAGGGCAAATCACCTTGAGATGAGCACCAGGAGCCCATGCCCAGAAAGCACATCCAGAAAGTACAGATCAGTGCAAGCAAAGAAAGGCCACATTGGGCTGTGTCCAATGCACCTAGATCAGAGGGACTGTGGGAAGAACCCAGGCTGGGAATCAGGAGCGTGGGTTCTAGTCTAGCTCTGCCTAGATTTATGAGTCGTTGGACACATGACCCCCAGGAAACAATGGAGACTGATTCTGAAATCCTGGGACAAGAGTATATTCAAGATTTAACCCTGGAGAGCCCCAGATAAACACTGGAACATGGAACCTAAGTACAGAACAGGGAAGAGCTGGGGAGAGCCATCATCTAAGTCTGAGACTGGGCCCAGAGCGACAAACCCTGAGCTGTTCCATCTTCCTGTCATTCATTCCACAAATATTGCCTGTGCCAAGCCCTCCTGGAGGCAATGGAGATGCAGCAATGAACAAATGGACAAAAATCCCACCCTTGTGGAGCTTTCCTTCTAGAGGAAAGAAACAGGCAATAAACAAAGAAATAAGTGAAACATATAGTGTCAGAAGGTGATAAAAATATAGCAAGGAAGGGGCAAAGGGTGAGGGATGCAACTGAAATCTTAGCGGTCGGGGAAGACCTTTCAAAACAGACAATGTTTGCTTGGGAACCTGGAGAGGGGTGAGCCATGTGGATACCCCAAGGAAGAGCAGTTTGGAGTCTCCTGCACTCATCCAAGGGAGAGGTGACCGTGGTTGGAACTACAGCAAAAACAGAGGAGGTGGTATGAAGTCAGATTTTGGGTATCTTTTGAAGGTAGAGCCAACAGGATTTGCTGACAGACTGGATGTGGGAAATGAGGACAAGAGCAGAGTCAAGGATGGGCCATGATAGACCCTGAACAGGGCAGGGAAGTCTGGACCTCCAGGGGTCATAAGCAGACCACCTGGAGGGTGGAACCAACACAGGCACACCTCCCTTCAGCTCCCCCACAGGCACTTTGGTTTCCATGGACACAGCCCTGCCAAGCAGCCACCCACACTCTCCTCTTACCTCTAACTTGAGTTGTTTGTGGGAGGAGGGAGGCGTCCCCTGGGAGGCAGGAAAGAAAAGCTGATCAGCAGAGGATGGATGCTGCAGTACTGAGAGCTGCTTACATAGTTTCCTCTTCATCATGAGGGAGAAAGTAGGCTTTGGTGAAAAGTTTTGTAAAATTAATCTGCAAAGGACACAGGTGATAGAAGCTGCTCAAAATAGAAAGAAGGTCATTCGAGATGACCTGCTTTCACAGGTTAGTGGCTCAAACAGAAAAAACAGTGGTAAAAGGGGTAACTGCACAGTGTTCATTCATTCATTGTTCTGGGAACAATGAGAGAGTCCATTGTTTTGCTCCACCCTCCATCTCGACCCTCCCAGTAGTAATCTCAGGCCTAGATCTTGCCTGAGCTCAGCCACTTCTACCACAAATCAGACAAACTAGGGAACCTATGAACTCTCGTTTTTCTGGGGCAACCCCAGTATGAGCCTCATGTAGGATGCTGATTCCTGCGTCACCCCAGCCCCTCCCCCAGTGCTCCTCAACAGCATCTCTCAGGTACGTGCACTAGGTGAACTGAGGTTTAGGTAAATAGCGCCCCCTGGAGCCCAATGAATGCCTGTGCCGCTTTCAGCTTTCCCAGTCAGCTAGCATGACTTCTGTAGATCTTCAACCAGATTGAAACATGCGTGGTCTGCTGTGCTTTCTCTAATGGTTCAGTCTGATGCTGCTTCACACCAGCACGAGAAATAAGTTTAAGAATCTGTGCATTTGTAAGTCTGGGAGGAGGTGGAAGAGGCAAACTGCTACCCTGGTGCCAAATGACACCTGGAGGTTTTCTGTTAGGCACAATGTTATGTTTAAACTTTTGAACATGAATGAACAACTTTAGGTGTGAGCTCTTCCCTTTTCCAAATGCCTCACCATTCCCCGATGTCTCAAACCCCACCTGTCTTACTGTCTATGTGCCTGCCTAGCCCTTGAAGAAAGGAGCATGGACTTGGAGTTGTAGAACTCTGGGTTTGGATCTTGGCTCTGGAATTATTTTCCCTCTTGATTCCTCAGTTTCTTCATTTATGAGGAAAATGATAATACCCTGCAGGGTTGGTCTAAGGGATAAATGTAACAAGTGCTGGTTATCATTAAGGATTAAAGCTGCACAAACTACAGTAATGATTTTGAGGTGTGCTGTCACCCCGAAGGAAAGAATTAGGATGAAGAGGTGCTAGTTACAAGGAGATGGATTTAACTCAATATGAAAAAAACCTTTTAGTGGTCAACACACTACAGAAGGAAGAGATGACTTCAGGAAGTGGTATGCTCCCCATCATGGGAGGTATTCAAACAAAGAATGCTAATGGAGGGGTTCAAGCATCAGGTAATTAGATAACTCGAACATTCTGTAACCCCATGGCAATATGGTTCTCTCTTCCTCTGCATGGGTTGCAGATAAGGCCAGCTTCGCTAAGCATCCACCAGTGGCCGTCTTGCCTCTTGGAACAGGAAATGATCTGGCCCGATGTCTCCGCTGGGGAGGAGGTGAGTCTGCCTGTGAGTGGCACTCCCCTGGGGACAAGTTTCCAATCAACAGGGATGCTCCACGGAACTAGGCTGAGCTCCTCTAGAGAATCTCTAAAGAGAATCACGTTTTACAGAATAATACTCAACCCTGGGGTCAGATCAACTTCATGAAGGTTTCCCCGCCCTCCATCCCACACCGAGGCCTATGCTTACCCCTCACTATATTTCCTGTCACCCAAAAACTATCTGCTTACTGCCTGCCTTTCCCAGTGAAACAAGTCCCCTTTATCTCTGATCAAAATTCCCCCTTCCCAAATTGCTGATCTTCTGAATTAGGACTCAGAATGCAGACTGAAAAGCCACTATTAGGGCATCCAGATCATCTTAGCACCCCCATAGCCATGGGCCCTCATTTTAAAAATTCCAGAAGGGGGAACTCAGAGTGGTAACTAGCTTACAGGGCAATGGGCAGGAGTTGAGAACTTTGCAAACTGCAACAGCTCCCATGGAGCTGGGCATGCTCCAGAGAGAGAAGTTCAGGTAACCACAAGAAACCCACAGATCCGTCTGGCAGGCAGAATGAGAGTGGGACTGAAGATGGCTGATCAATTCAGAGAGCAATTCAAGACCAAGCCAAGCCGCGGTCAGTGTTCAGAGACTAGTGCAAGCTTGAGGCAGAGTGAGAGCCAGCCATAGAAGGAAGTTGGCAGGCACTGGAAGAGCTACCAGAGTACTTAGCCACACACTGAGACTAGAAAAGAGTCCTCCATTCAGAGGGACAGCAAAAGTGTGGCCCCATGCTCTGGGCATCTAGGCAGCATACCCAGGCACCAATTTCATGCAGGAAACCCAGCCTGTGCTCCCAGATAATTCCAAGGCCCTCCTCTACATAGTTGCTACCATTGTTCTCTTGTGGGGCATCCCCTAAGAAGTTGATGAAAGCCCTGACAACTTGAAAATACTCCTCAAGCTTGCCCCAAAAGTAAGCAGGAACATAGAAGCGCTATTTGAAAGAAAAGACTGTCTCTCTCACTAAGCTCTCATCACTTACGATTCACATTTTATGTTAGTTTCTTACTGCTGTATAACAATAGGAACATCCATCTTTAGCTCACAGACCTATAGGTCAGAAGTTCTGGCACACGGTGACTGGGTTCTCTGCTCACAGGCTGAAATCAGGGCCTTAGACAGGCTGTGTTCCTTACTGAAGGCTCTGGGGGAAGAGTTTGCTTCCAAGGTCACTCAGGTTGTTAGCCGAATTCAGTTATTTGGTTGTAGGTCTGTTTCCTTGCTGGTTGTCTGCTGCAACCACTGTCAGATGAGAGAAGCCTCCCTCAGATGGGTCCCTTCATCTTCAAAGCTGGCAACAGAGAATCTTCCTCATGTTGAATGCCTCTCAAGCTTTAAATATATTTCTTAAAGAAAAGTCCAGTCTTTTCTGAGGACTCCCCTGATTAGGTCAGCGCCACACAAGATAATCCTCTTTTTTTTAAAGTCAACTGTTTCATAGAATATCCCTAATTGTATTCTTTTCACAGGTCCCACGGGTTTTGAATGGTGTATACGTCTGGGTGGGCAGGAATTATGGGGGGCATCTTAAAATTCTGTCCACCACACTGTCCCTCTCTGACATGACATGGTCTGGAAATGGACCCTTCATTCCCTTATGTGCAGCTTCCCTACCACCCAGTCCACCAGTTCTCTAGGGCTTGCTTTGGCTACACAGCTGGAGCACCTTTGGCCAGCAGGCACCCCACCCCTGCTGTTCGGGCTTTCAAATCTCCCCAGCCTCTTCCTAATTACTCCCTATTGTCCTCTCCTTCTCTGTGGCTCAGGGAATTTGAGTGTCTCTGGCCCACAAACACACTGGGTGGACTCCAAGTCACAGGTGCCCACAGGATTCCCCGCTCTGACAGCTGCCTGCACATTGGCAACAGCGTAGCTTCCTGCTTTGGAACAAACGCAACGTTACACTCCACAGGTTACGAAGGCGGAAGCCTGACAAAAATCCTGAAGGAAATCGAGCAGAGCCCCTTGGTGATGCTGGACCGCTGGCACCTGGAAGTCATCCCCAGAGAAGAGGTGGAGAATGGGGACCAGGTCCCATATGACATCATGAACAACTACTTCTCCATTGGCGTGGTGAGTTGGCCAGGGTTTGCCTTTCAGCATGGAAGAGAAAGTCCTGGCTGCGAAAGAAGGTCCTAGCCCACCACTGTCCCCATCTGGGTCCCTATGCTTTACCTCTCCTGGCTGCCCCTAGCTTTGACTTTGTGTCCAGGCATCCTTCCATCTAGAAACCTTGACTGCACTAAGCCCCCACCTTTGACTATAGAGGAAACTCCTTCCCTTATACTTTTAACTAACACAAAAAAAGACAGGACATTTTCAAAAAAACATATTTACTCTTTGGATAATTTGAAGCAGTTAAAGAAAAGCAACACCGAGAAATAACCAAGGGGTGAGGTCAGGAGGAGACTCTCACGTGAGCTTCCGAAGTTGGCACTCTGTCCTCTAGAGAGGACTGCATGGTCCCAAGCTGGTGTGGCTGGCTTAGCTCTCAGAATTCCTTCTCTCCTGTTTTCTCCCCTCATCTCAACCCCATTCCCCACACTCCAAGTGCTCATAAACCTCTGGGGGCATTTTCCCTGGCCGGTCCCTCTGGCTGAGCTCCGTGCTCCTCCTTAGTGTTCCCACAGCCCTCTGTACTGACCCCATCAGTGCACTCTCTGCATTAGATTGAAGAGCCTGGTTTAGTGTGCTTGTTTCTTCCCCCCTCTGCCAACACACACACACACACACACACACACACAGTGCCATGTTTCTCTTTCCTCCTCCAGCCCCCAGCACATTTAATGCAGGTCATTTATGCTGTTTCGATGAAGCCAGCTTCTGTTCCAAAGAGGATGGGCTGGACACTGCTTCCCAAGCTGCTGGGGGCATGATGTGAGAGAAAAGGGATCCATCACTGCCATAAATAGAGCTGGGGTTTGGGAGGGAGGTGCAACAAAGACAGCAGCATTTACTGAGCTCCTACTGTGTGCTCTCCACTGTGCCGGACTTTATGTACTCTAGACCTCAGAGCAATTCAGCAGGTATCTTGTCCCCACTGTCCCCATTTTACAAGTGAGGCCTCACTCAGAGCACTGGATGAGTAAGGGGCAGAGCTAACACACGCATGCTGGGCCTCATTCTGAAGCCAGGCTCTTTCCTCTGTATCCCTATCTTAAGAATTGTGCTGCCCAGTTTCATATGCATTTGAGTCCCTCCAGACCCCGACTGTGTGATACCTGCACTCTCCAACCATCCTCACCTGTGCCTCTTTTGACAATATTAGTGGTTATAAGAGAGAGAGAGAGAGAGAGAGGAGGAGGAAATGATAGATATATTGAGGCAAGAGCAGGTTTTGAAAAGGGCTTTGTTTTTTAATAAGATTAGGAGAACCATGGAAGAGGAAAAGATTAATAATATTAACACCTTATATTTATAGGATTTAAAATTTGCCATATTTGCAGATATGTTCTTGATTCTTGTGACTACACTGAAGAACAGTGTTCTCTCCACTTCACAGGTGAAGAAACAAATTGAGGGATTTGCCTTCATCTTTTGACTCCTAATCCAGCACTCTTTTCCTATTACTAAGACAGAGAGTGTCATTGCTGGACCCACAACCAGGTTCTGAGAAGACGCAGGTGTTAGGCTGGGAGTAAGCTCAGGAGTCTCTTATTTATCTCCCTAGGTCCCTTGGTCTCAATTGGGGAACACACCTTTCCCTAGGCCTCTCCCAGCTCCCCTCTCCAGTGACCAAAGAAGACTCTACCCTCCTATTCTTGGCTCAAAGGCCCCTCTCCTTTTTGGATCACTTGCTTAGGCTCTACTTCCCCCAGTGGGAACAGGCAATCTTCACCTCCTACAAATCAGACATGACTGGCATATCTGGTGAGGGGGCTTCTGGAGCATGGGCTTCCCATCATTACATTTTCACAAAAATGTGAGTCTTTTGCCCATAACTAGAATATAACTTGCTAATATTTATTGGGTACCTACTGCACACCAGGCATAATTTTCCTGTTGGTGGGTATTTCATTAACCTTTTGCATTGTGTAAGAAGGAGCTACAGCTTAGAAAGAAACAGAATGGTGGGGCCAGGAGAGACTACCATCAGGATCCAAAGCCCACTAAGCTGCAGACCATGAGTCCTGCAGCCTCTGCCCAAACCCCTCCATCTTCATGCCACCAAACCAGCAGCATTTGGGTGGGGGTGACTCAAAATTTAGTGTGTGATGGCTCACCCATGCCCCTTGTCAAAAATGCAAATTCCACCCCTGAGAGAGCCTGATTCCTATTCTGATTCAGTTGGTCTGGGTGAGGTCTGGGAATCTGTGTTTTTAACAAGCCCCTGAGATAATTCTGATGTAGATGGTCCCTGTGAAGTCTTCAGCGAGTGAAGACAATTCATTAGAGCAGAGAATGGCCAAAGGAAGTGATTCTTCACAGGAACAGAAACCAGAACTGAAATAGATAAAGGAGAGGAAAGACAGAGAGGTGAGGACACCAGTACCTATAAGCCACCGGCCAGAAGTAAGTGCTGAGCAGCAGGAGGGGGTGATCTGCCTGGGAACTTCTAGAGGACAAGTTACAGTCATGGCTGCCTTCAGTCTTCAGCCTCAAATCTTCTCTCTTAACACACCAAAGCTTGGCTGCCAAAAACACCCCCTGCCTGTCTCTACAAAATAATTTTTTTTTAAATGGCACTCACTTAGTATTAGCTGACCAAATAGATGAACACAATAAAAGAGACTAGACAACCTCCCCTCAACTAGATAACCAAGCCTAATCCCAAGAGCCAACACTGATCTTGGTTTTAATTCATTCTTGCAAATAACTGGGAAGGGAGGGAAGAAGGCCAGCTAATTGTCCGCCAAGGAAATTCATGCAAACAGATTCTCCATCACACTCAGTGGTCAAGATACTTACTTGCCCTGGGCTGACTTATAATAATCCAATCTATTCATCTTTCAAATTATGAAGAACTTCACAGTATCTTTCCTTATTATTCCCCTTACACACCTTTAGCTTGTGCATATTTAATATTTTATTGCAAAGCAGTGAGGAACCACGACTGTTTTTATCTCCTTGGTGTGCCCTTAGGCTTCTCGCAATAAAATGTTTGCAGGGTTTGTGTGCTCGCTCTTTAAATGTTGGAAAGGGAAATTCTTGAGAAAACAAGTAGCCAACACACAACCCTAACAGAACCTGGGGCTGACATTTGCAGAAGCTCTTGCTCCCTATTTGACTTCCCAAACTTTGTAAGAGGAGAAGGGGATATGTAAACCAACCCACGGCTTTACTTCCTTACGATGATTAGAGTCAGACTCCTTTGGCAAAGAGAGCCTTGCAGAGTCTTTGCCTCTTTTGAAGGACTTAGAATATCCATTAATATCAAATGTCTGCTGCCTTGCACTTACAAAGGTGATGACAATGACTGCTGCTGTGGTGCCCTTGGGTGGTAAAGAACTTGTCCTGACGGTTCACTGGTCCCCTTGTTACTGACAGAACCCATTTAATAGATGGAGGGATAAACAGAGCAGACTCTCCTGGCCTAACCAAGGAGCGACTATGGCCTCATTGTCACCACATTCCCATCACCCACGTACATGCCAGCTCCCCTCAGTGAGGAGCTGAGATAGTTGGCCTTCTCAGTCCCTCTGATAACATCCATTGGCAGGAGATTTTAAACACAGTCATTCAGGAGGCTATTTCCTCTGACTTCTCTGGCCTCCTCGTCTCTGCTCTTTATTTTTGGATTTGCAGAAATGTCAGGATGGCCAGGTATCAGTGACAGGAAGTTGGGACTGCGAAATAATTCCTGGGGCATGTGTGGCTCTGAATGCCTCAAAGGCTCTGCTTTCACTGAGCCTTAACAGGATGAGTGAACAGCTAATCCCTTGATTCAATGAAATCTATTTCTGATGCTGGGGGACCCCAGGGGCCAAGGAGAGGCCACAGTCATCACACTAACCCAGGCGCCATTCCCACCTTACAGAGCATATTTATCAGATTTCACCAGCCAAGTTTCCACAATGGTACACCTCCTACCCATTAGTGATTTTATCTTTTAAAAATATCATCATTGTTCCTGCAGCCTTTGGATTCCCTCAGCTTCAGGTTTTTGTCTGTCACCTGTGAGAGCCATGAAGGTACTAAAACAGTGGGACTCACTGAAAGGTGTTTTGGACAAGAGGTCTACACTCTTTTTATTTCCCGATCTGCCACAATTTTCAGAAAAATCCCAATTTCAAGTTTTAGTGTCTCATCTCTGTCTTTTTATCTCCATAAGTTGCCCAAGTGACTTAGAAATGCATTGTCCAATACAGTAGCCATCAGCCACTTGTGGCTGTTGTGTACTTGAAATGGGGCTAGTCTAAATCAAGAGATGCTGTGTCAAATACACACTAAATTTTTTAAATGTTGTATGAAGGAAAGAATTTAAAATATCGCTATAATATTTATATGAATTACATGTTATAAGTATAGCATCTGTTAATTATTCAAGTTAATTTCCTCTCCTTTCACTATTTTAACGTGGCTACTAGAAAATTTTACATTTTTTTCTACCAGACATCACTGGCCTAGACACCCCAACATATCAGAGTCCAAACACTGCTGCTTACATTTGGAAGGGGTTGAAACATATATTTTGTCCAACTGTGCGACTGAAGTTTTAGTTCAGGAAAGAGTGGCCGCATGTCCTCACTGCGGTCATCTCCTGTTCACCCCACACTTCACAGAAAAGGCCCCAGAAAGTGAGGCCATCAGAAATGTCATCATCATGTCCACAGGTTTGCAATTCCCATCCACACCCCATTCCCTTCAGACGAGAAGTCTCATTTTGCTGTAATGATTTAACATACTTCCTTATGTTAAAAAAAAATCAGAAAAAGAATTTTGTAGCATTTCCATATTAAGAAACAGAATTAATATACACTAGCTGAACCATTGTAGCACGGCTTTCCAAAATTTAAATGAAATCACTACTAAATGTAAGGACAGCCAGCTCAGTGCCTGACAGAGAAAAGCTCAACAGAGGGTTAAAGTGAATCTTGACTCTCTTTTTAATGCCCAGATAGGAAAACATGGTCAGTCTTGACCAGCATTGTCTTTCCAAGATGAACAGCAAAGGAACTCCTTTGCCACTTTGTGCATTTACCAAGGAATTACACTGTCAAATTAGGACTCATGTGCTCGACTAATAATATTGTAAAGGCTGGTTTTTGTGAAAAGAAGTTTTGCAAAACTTAGTTATGAAAAACCAAAGATAATCAGAACTACACAGAGGGAGGGGGGCTGTGCACATATCCCAGAGAATAAAAAAGCCAGGAGTTAGTCACAGCAGCACTGGGGACAGGGAGTCATAGAGAACAAATCAGGCCAGGCAACATGTGATTGCTTTTTTCTTTTCTTTTCTTTTTTTCCTGACAGAAGAAAATTGGTGCTTCAAAGGAACATAAGCAGATGTGATGGTTTCTTGAATTCTAGAGAAGCATTTGACAGATGTCAATGAATTTTGTTCACAGTGTTCACTGAAACTTGCTCAGAGAGAGGGAGGTGGGCATAGTCTGGCAGCGTGAAGCACAGCTGCCAGGGGAGCTGAACAAGCTGTACAGGCCCAAGGGACAGAGGCCTCCGGGGAGGTTGCACGTCTCCCACCGTGTGTCCACAGGGGTGCCTGCCTAACCAAGGCCTTCAACTTTTGTTGATGTGTTTTAAACTAAAAACTAAATCACTAAGTAGAGTTTAAACATGAAATTTCCAAGACATGATTTCAGCAAGGAGTGTTTGCCAACCACAAAATAAGCCCATACCTTGACTTGCCCTCTCTACTTTTCAGTAGTGGGCTGCTAGCTGGCTTCACTCCTCTGCCAAGTGTAAATATCACAAAAGCTTCTCTTTGCCCCTAATTTGCTTCTGGACTTTCTGTCCCCACCATTAGCTTGTATTTTACTCACCACACACAGCACATGCTCAAAAAAATGCCTCTTCACTGCACTATACCTCCTTATGTTTAAAAAAAAAAAAAACAGAAAAAAATTTTTGTAGTTTCCACATTAAGAAATGGAATGAATATGCACTAGCTGAAAATTCACTGTATGGAATTTCAGTTCTCTTTTAGCCACATATTCCAGTAAATGAGTTTCTGTATTTTTTTTTTTTCCATGAACAAATCTGAATCAGCTCTCTTGTTTTTGTCACTCCCCCCACTCCAGCTCAAGTAGCCAGTATATTTCTGAAGCCCATCACCTGCACCTAAAGTGCTGGAGTGGGGCAGTCGCTCTGAGGGGTAAAGGGGCGTTACACATTCCTCTGCTGGAAAATCAGACCATTAACAAGGTGGAAGACCTAGTTTGAGGAGGAAAGATGAGTTCATTTTTAGGTCTGAAAGTCAGGGGTGGTACAAGAGATGTACATTGTGGAGACAGTATCTAGGTGTTAGTAACAACTATGAGAACTCGAGATGGCCCATGACATGGCGTGTGGGCTACAGATTGGACTCAAGGCTGAGAAGTTCTGGTCCAGGGATGGAGAGCCCAGAAGCATGGTGCCATGGGAGCCATTCTCGCTGTGAGTTCTGAGGAGAAGGTGGCCAAGAATGCAGCAAAGGGATGTGCTTGCTAACAGGACAGCAAAGTACCCATAGAATGTGGTAAGGAGACTCTTAGTGACCTTGGGGAGAGCTGTTTCCGGGAGCCGTCAAGAAGCAGAAGCCAGAAGTTTAAATAGATATTGTTTTATCTAGTAAGCATGCTATCCAATGCTACCAATTATTTCTACTGTTATGGATGATTAAGAGTTAATATATAACAGCGTCTGTCAACATCAATTTTCTGGTTTTGACAATGTATTAGAGTTATCTAAGAAGTTATCACAGGGGGAAGCTGGGGGAAAGGACACAGGAACTCACTGTACTATTTTTGAAACTTCTTGTGAGTCTTAAAATCTTTCAAAATAAAAAGTATTGTTTTAAAAGATATGGCAAGATATTTCCAAAGGCTCTCACACACACACACACACACACACACACACACACTCGCACTGCTCACAGACCCAAACAGCCTCTCTCTTCTCCAAGGGCAGCGTCTGTCCCTCACTCACCCTGAACTATGGCTGGCCTGGGGGAGTACTGCGCGGGGTCCCACAGCGCGGGGGGACTGGCCCCTCACCCTGGACCTGTGTTCTCCCTTGAAGTTGGGGGATTTCAGTGAGCGTCTGCGCTCCCCTTTCTTCCACACCGCACGGCCATGGCCACTAACCAGGGATCTGCTTTCTGTCTCTTTCCCTTTCAGGATGCTTCCATTGCACACAGATTCCACGTGATGAGAGAAAAGCACCCCGAAAAATTCAACAGCAGGTAAGAGGGCCTTTGGGCCGCCCCGCCCGCGTCCAGCCCGCGGCCTCCACCTGCTCTCGCCCCGCGATCTTGGCCCGGCTGCCCCGGGACTTCACTTTCCTGCCACGTTGCCGGAAGGAGGGCTTCCATCTCCAAGAACACGATGTCAGAGACCTGCGGCAGCCTGGCCTCGGGTCCCCTCCCAGAGG